AAAAAAAAAAAAAAAAAAAAAAAAAAAAAAAAAAAAAGGTTCCATGTACACTTGACGAAACCCTTGAACAGGCAGCACTTGAAAATGAACTCCAAGGCTTGACCAATCCTGGACCAGGATCGCCTGCTGGAAAAAAAGGAAAACAAAAAAAAGGCGGCACTTGGAGTCCTGGCGGTATCCACTGGCACTTGAACTCAAGGTACCTCTGGGAGGTGACTTGAATTCAAGGGCGATTTTGGCTGTGTCGCCCGTGAAACTGGGCGCACCCTTGGGACGCAAAAAACTGAAAACAAAGCGGGTCGCTCTAAGGGGGGGGTGGAAAGATGGTTTTTCGCTTCGCTCATGAACTCAAGTGGTGTGGAACGAGGCCCTTGTAATTGCACTACGGGCCAAGATACAGTTTGCAATAGCACTTGGGGCACCCTACCTGGCCACAAAGCTGGGTTGTATACATTGCCCGAACTGCAATTGCAAACTGTATCTTGGCCCATAGTGCAATTATAGCTCATTTTTGTGACTGGGGGCGTAGTTTCCCCTTTCTTTTTTCTTCTTTTGGTTGCCTTTGCAGGGCAAGTGGCTACCTCACTCACCTCATACTCACACTAGTACTGTAGCGTCCTGTATCGGACCGCGATCAGAGCATAAGGGATGCTTCCCCCCCCCCCCCTTTCTTCATGGCCTTACTCACCTCATACTCACACTAGTACTGTAGCATCCTGGACCCCCATCACAGCATAAGGGATGCTTTAATTTCTTTTTCCTCCGTCATCCGTTGTTCATTGGACAGACTCCCTCACTGAGGGCACAGTCACACTGGCACTTCATAGCATGGATCTGACGGTTATCAGGGCGGGCTTTAGAGACGTTTCTTTCTTTTCTTCTATTTCTTTTCTTTTCTTTTTGGATGCAACTGCACCAGAAAAGAAAAAAAAAACAAAAAAAAAAAAACACAAGGGGACCCAGGCTCGGCAAAAAAAAACTTCGTGCGCAGTGGCCCAAAGGCAAAACTGGGTGCGCAGTGAAATGCAGGTTTGGCAAAAACAGGGTTGGATGTACTGGTGGTTTAAAAGGGGCCCAAGCAACCCCAGGTGGGCAGCACCAGGAAAATTGACTGGGCTCAGCGGCGGGGAAAAAAAAAAAAAAAAAAAAAAAAGAATAACCACGAACTTTTTTTTTAAAAGTAAGCTATATATCGTCAAATAGAACTGCCCGGTAAACCGTAGGCAGAGAGGGAGAAGAGGACAACAAACGAGGGACTGTGACAAACTGTTTCGTCGGAGTTTCACCGACTCATCAGGAGGCTATATATTCTTCTCTCATCTATCTCATCTTCTTGTCAGTACTCATCTATCTCATCCTATCGCTACCGGGAACACCAACCAACCGGGATCTCTCCCTAGCCCACGGGGTAGGTTGGCACCACAGCGGTGGTGCAAGAGCAAGGCTGAACCCGTCCCTCATCACGGTGATGAGGGCTGGGCAGGCATTCCCGATGGGGGAAATCGAATGGCCAGTCACTGCACCTGCCCCTACCCCCCCCCCCTCAACCCCTACTTAGCTCTCGATTTGATAGGGGTGAGAGAGACCCTTGGCCGGCCGGAATTGCAGTCACACACATCCAGAAAAGCCCTGCGTAGGGCCTCGCTCCACTACTCACCTCATGCACAAAAGACGAAAAATATGGCCGTGTATCTGTCCATGTTCCAGAGGAGGATTCAATTCTCATTTTGCACATTTGAAGTAGAGGAGCGAGGCCCGTAGTGTAGTGTGAGTACGCCCTCGTGCTGTTTTGGTTTGGACTGACTTGTTGGTCGAAATTCGTCATCGTTGGCCAGATCTCTTTCGTTTCGCGGACCGAGAGGTGTTGATTGGGAGAGGTGGTGGGTCACACGTTTCCTCCAAATACGAGTGACATGGGCCGATCGATATTTCCCGCATGGGCAAGAGCGTCTACACCGATGGCGTGACGGTGGCTTCAATCAATTGGCAGGTTAGTTGATTGATTGATTGATTGATTGATTGATTGACTGGTTGGTCGGGTGATTGGCACTTTGATTGATCGATATGATGGACTTGATTGATCGATTGATTAGTTGATCGATTGATGGATTTGATCGATTGCTCGATTGTTTGATTAGCTGGGTGATTCTGACGTCTCCGTTGATTCTCGGCTTGACAGGTGGTGCGCAGCGGGAGGAGGAGATCGCTGGCTTTCTATCACACGGGCACAGAAGGCTATTGATTGCCACGTCAACGGGATTAATCAAGTAATAAGTGGCTGATTGATTGCTTGACTGATTGCTACTTTCGACATGGCGCCTCCTATTACAATGCCTCGTTGCGAGGATGTGGACATGAGCAAAGCAGTCTTCAACGTTAAGGAAACAGTCGGTAGGTACTCTCTGTTTTTCTTTTCAAGGGGGGGGGGGGGGGGCTATGGGGGGGGGGGGGGGGGGGCTATGGAGGGGGCTGGGGGGAGGAAATACTTTCCATTGGGAAGAGGATGAAGAAGAGTAGTGAAACATACAGTCAATCAACACACGTCGTCGTTGTTACATCTTTTTTTTTTTTTTTTTTTTTTTTTTAAACCGCGGCTATTGTAGCACTAAACAGTGCGAGCGTTGATAACATCAAGCAGTGAGAGAGCAATATAACACCGAGTACTATAACACAGTAATAGTAGATTGAACAGTACTATAATAATAGTACATTGTACGGACGACGCTCCGTTTCCTAAAGATCTCGAATGTGTGCTTCGCCGGCTGGCGTGCTCTCCACCGGTTTGGGCTATCCCGGCTTCACCCGAATACAACGCATGGTCATTCCTCGATTTATGCGTGTCATCCTTGCGCAGGTATCTTCTTTCTCTGTATCGTTCCAATTTTAACGGATGTCCCGAAGGACACGCATGGTCATTACTGCGGTAAGTAGACTCAGAGTTGCCGCGAAAACAGCTATAATGAGCGTACGTTGTATTCGGGTGAGGACGGGTAGCGGCAGAGTGCGCTTCTTGGGCTAGATATCTCCGATATGAACTATTCGCTGACTTATTTACGCTGTATCGGTTTCGCCGGCGCTCCTTGGCCTAGAGATCTCCGATGTGCTTTCGCGCGCTGGGTTACCTTGGGATACCGTCTTTCCCCTAATAGAACGTACGGTCATTAAAGCCGTATTTGGCTGACATTGTAGTCCAGATGCAGCAGAAATGTCCGTACGTATTCGGAGGAAAAAGGTAGCAGCAGAGGACGCTCCTTGGCGTAGAGATCTCCGATAGGCTTCCTGCGCCTCTCTACCCGTTTCGGCTACCGTCGTCACCCGAATAGAACGGCCGGTGATTATAGACGTATCTAGACTGAAAATTGCACCAAATACGGCTATAATGACCTGGCGTTCTATTCCGGTGAAAGCCTGTACTACCATCGTCAGGAGGACTGCTCATTTTGTTTTTCAAATTGATTTCTCAGATCGATATGCATCCGTTTTTGTTTTTTAATAATTTGAACCATTTCTCGATTTATGCCTGTCATTCTTGTGCGCGGGGCATGCTGATCAATCTTCTTTGTCAATTTTCTAAACTTTTTTTTTTTTTTTTCCCTTCATTTTCGCGAGGTGTTTACCCATTTCCCATTTTTCATTGTTTATCAATTTCATAAAACTTTCATCCTTGTTGGGTTATCTATTTGCTTTGCACATGTGCGTATTTATACTCTTGTACTCACACACACAGTCTTCGTTTTTTTTTTTTTTTTTTTTTTTTTGCTGGAAAGCGGGTCCAGCGTCCCAATTTGAAGTAGATGAGGCCGGGG